CTGACGAGTTATGTCTGTTTTGGTCTGAGGCCGTAGGTAATCCCAGGATTACTGGCCGGTTATGTCCTTAACCCATAGGGGCGGGTTCGGGTCATGACAAGAGTTCTGGGTGAAATCATTCGTGTCCTTCGAATCACATCCTTTTACTCCCTCTCCTTACGCGTGTGACGCATTAGGAATACTTCTTTTGGTTAAACACATTCGGGTGCATCCCGGTGTTCATACCTACTCCTTTCGGTTAAAAACATTTGGGTGCGTCCTAGTGTTTACACCTACCCCTTCGGTTAAAAACATTCGGGTGCGTCCCAGTGTTCACACATTCCTTTGGTTAAAAACATTTGGATGTGTCCCGGTGTTTACACCTACCCCTTCGGTTAAAAACATTCGGGTGCATCCCGGTGTTCACACCTTCCTTTGGTTAAAAACATTTGGGTGTGTCCCAGTGTTTACACCTACCCCTTCGGTTAAAAACATTCGGGTGCATCCCGGTGTTCACACCTTCCTTTGGTTAAAAACATTTGGGTGTGTCCCAGTGTTTACACCTACCCCTTCGGTTAAAAACATTCGGGTGCATCCCGGTGTTCACACCTTCCTTTGGTTAAAAACATTTGGGTGTGTCCCAGTGTTTACACCTACCCCTTCGGTTAAAAACATTCGGGTGCATCCCGGTGTTCACACCTTCCTTTGGTTAAAAACATTTGGGTGTGTCCCAGTGTTTACACCTACCCCTTCGGTTAAAAACATTCGGGTGCATCCCGGTGTTCACACCTTCCTTTGGTTAAAAACATTTGGGTGTGTCCCAGTGTTTACACCTACCCCTTCGGTTAAAAACATTCGGGTGCATCCCGGTGTTCACACCTTCCTTTGGTTAAAAACATTTGGGTGTGTCCCAGTGTTTACACCTACCCCTTCGGTTAAAAACATTCGGGTGCATCCCGGTGTTCACACCTTCCTTTGGTTAAAAACATTTGGGTGTGTCCCAGTGTTTACACCTACCCCTTCGGTTAAAAACATTCGGGTGCATCCCGGTGTTCACACCTTCCTTTGGTTAAAAACATTTGGGTGTGTCCCAGTGTTTACACCTACCCCTTCGGTTAAAAACATTCGGGTGCATCCCGGTGTTCACACCTTCCTTTGGTTAAAAACATTTGGGTGTGTCCCAGTGTTTACACCTACCCCTTCGGTTAAAAACATTCGGGTGCATCCCGGTGTTCACACCTTCCTTTGGTTAAAAACATTTGGGTGTGTCCCAGTGTTTACACCTACCCCTTCGGTTAAAAACATTCGGGTGCATCCCGGTGTTCACACCTTCCTTTGGTTAAAAACATTTGGGTGTGTCCCAGTGTTTACACCTACCCCTTCGGTTAAAAACATTCGGGTGCATCCCGGTGTTCACACCTTCCTTTGGTTAAAAACATTTGGGTGTGTCCCAGTGTTTACACCTACCCCTTCGGTTAAAAACATTCGGGTGCATCCC